CTCCCTTGTTAATGTAGAGAAATGTTACCTTTTTGACGAATATTCATATATGTTTGACAACTTTTGTGGACGTAAATGGCAAAAGCAATTGTTGATGGAAACTAGTAGTGAGTAGGTTTGTTATTTCTTGTTCACCGTTGGAGCTACAGTAATTTACTGAATCCATATGAGCCTTCCATTTATATGGCAATGAATCTTCATTGGCTATTAAGCATCAAGAGAACAGCTAAAATGTAAGAAGGCACTCTGTAATAGGAATCAATTGAAATCACAAAGAAAATAAGGAAATTATGAAAACATTTTTCATCATCCTTTAGGTCTATTTCTTTCAGATGTTATTTCGCCGTTTCGTTCACTCAAACAATATTGAGAATCCGCAACAACTTAGAATTGTAATGAAAGAATATTTCAGAAGGAAAACAACTTTGATGTCTTATTGTTCCAATAAAATATTGAAATGCCTATTCTACGTGCTTGTTTTGAATTCGCATTTGGAGAAAATACGCCTAACAATTTATATATTGTACAGGGCACCGCCATAATAATTGCCAATTTGCTCATCTTCAGAAACCGAAAGCGTAAAATCTCGTATTAGGTTATGTAAGAAATCATACAAACTATATTTTGACACTTTTGTTTAACGAGACAATTATAATTATATTAATAACATCCCTTCAAAATTCCTGCGCCGCCCTCTGTGGCTTCCACTATCTTTTAGGGTTCCGTACCTAAAGGGTAAAATGGGACCCTATTACTATGCCGCTGTCTGTCTGTCTGCCTGTCTGCCTGCCTGTCTGTCTGTCCGTCTGTCACCAGGCTGTATCTCATGAACCGTGATAGTTAGGCAGTTGAAATATTATAGATGTATTTCTGTTGCCGCTATAACAACAAATATTTAAGTGGGGCCTCCATACGCGAGGCATGATTTTTTTTGCCGTTTTTATAGATATTGGTACGAAACCCTGCGTGTGCGTGTCCGACTCGCACTTTACCGGTTTGTTTTATTTTATTTTTAATAACCTCTGAATTCAGCTAGTTTTATACTATGACCCAATATTAAAATCTAACGAGCACGTGACATGATCGTTCAATTTTAAAACAACAATTATACCCGAATAAAACGCAAGGCATATTACGTAGATATTTAGAAACAGTATGTATCGGTAAAGTAATAAAATTCGCCATAACCGTTACATAAACGTACCGGATATTTTAGTATTTTACGCGTGAAATTTATTTCAGTAACGCGTACACCAATTGGCATGTTTGTGTCAAGTGTTGTGTAACGTCATTCAGTGCTAAATAATTCGGTACGCGACAGGCAATTATCGGTGTACCAATTGATGGAGCATCAAACACGCGACGATATTAGGAAATTGCGCCGGCCCTAAATTACGGGGACGGAATCGACGAATACGAAAATCGGATTAAATAAATTTTCTGTACAATTGTCACAGTTACTTATCGTTACGATGTTTCGATTTATTTTGATATGTCCAATTTGAATGATATTCCGCCTGAAAGCTGTTTTGTGTGATTACAATGAGATATCCGGAAGTAACGGTCAATTTTGGCGTTGTGTAAACACCATACATTATTTAATACAGCAAGTTGGTAACAGTATAGCATATATGTAATTTCGTGAGTAGCCAAGGTATTTTCTTTAAGCAGGGTACTAAGTGGCCCCATTATGCAGTAATACAATAAAATATTATATGATTTAAAAATTAATAATGAATTTATAAACAGCAATAAATTGTTTGAGGGTTGATAAATAAATTTTGAAAATATTAAGTTCAAATTGTGACGTCAAATGTTTTAATGACTAACCCAAACCTCGGGAATAAATAATAAAAATTTTACCCAGAGACAACATAGGTGGTACCTAGGAAAATGCTAGTGCTGTCTGTTGAATGAGCAATGAATCTTCGCCTTTAAACAATGCTTTTCGCAGACTTTTTTTCTCCAGTAAGATAGTAAACAACTTTTACGATCCACCTTCTTCAGAAGGTAATACGAAGGTTATACGCAATTGATTTTATTATATAGATACCTCGAGAGAGCGTATTCTGAACTGTCTACGATTAGAAACATGTCTAAAAGAATAGATGTTACTAATGAATTTATTGTTTCAATTCGTTGCCGAGTATTAGTTGCAAATACTCTTCGAACAATTACGATAAGTGATTTAGATTGGTGAAGTTTTAGTACAATCTTTAAATGATCACTCACAAACACATATTATTATATTAATATAATATAAGTTATATAAGTTATTCTACAAAATAAACAGTATAAATGTAACCAATGTTCATTACAAACGAAAGAATTAATGAGGTGAAAATTAATTCACTACCACCTCTTTTTGACTTTTTAAAAAATGTTAAATATTCTTCTTAAGCAATTTTGAAAGCTCTTTTCCGTAGGAATCTCTAAAACTTGTTTGCATCCGGTAAAACAAATTTTAACAAATTTAATCCCATTTGATGAGAATTTTTAATTTCCAACATTTGGAAAATGTGTAGTTATAGTGAAAGCAGTTGTTTGATATATCCGTGTTTCAGTTAATTAGAATTACCAGCCGATTTTTAAATTTAAATAAAATAATTTATTTCAAGAGCTAACCTTAAAAGTAAATCCAGGGTTATTTCAGTATACTTGTTTCGGATTTAATAATATAGATGACTTAAATAAAGCCAACGATGACAGCGAAATAAGGTTGTTTCGTTATTAATAAGTATATTACTTATATTAGCCTCTCCGATTAAAATTGACAATCGCAGAATAATTTCAAACGTTCTCAAAACCAATACATTAAAAATATCACAATGACGTCGATTCCAGTGTATGTTATAAAAATTTATGGAATACAGATTATAACGTCTGGTATGATGTACATATCCTTATAAATAGAATATTGCAGTTAATATAATATTTATAAGGATAGCCTCAGTGGGTTTGAGGTTAACGTCGATTGTAACTCATAATAACGTTTAAGACTAACCAAGGAATTCTCTAGAATAACAGTTCTATTAACGTGCGTTCACGTCAGCATTACGCGGAGATATTTTTTTTTCGCGTTTATTACACCGACGTTATTTAACGAAGGCCTTTTTATCAATCATAGTGATAACTTTTAGTGCGTCATAACAGCTTATGTTATGGTTTGCTTCTCTCATTAAAATGTGTTGCTATATGCAATGACGCACTGTAGAGTAACCGGGAAAATTTCTTAAATAGTCTATTTTCTACGTTGATCAAGGAATCACCTGGTCTACAAAAATCTATCATTTTTAATCCATTTCGATTAACGGTCGACAACTTGACAGATTTCTTTGCGTTGTTGTATGTGTATTGTTAATAATACATGGCAGTGTAAATCACTTCGCATCAGAAACCTTATAAGATAAGTTTGTGTAAAATTGTGTAATTATTACATATGCATTGAAATAAATTGTATGCATTAGAGAAGTTAAATAAATTACTAAAATCAACTTTTACACCAGAAATAGAAAAACGTTTTGTTGTATGTAATGTATGATGTATTTTAAGAAAAAATTCGATAAAGGTGTTAAGCATTGAACTTGTTTCAACTTGGTAATAGTGTATTATAAACTAATAGTGTATATTGTTTTAAAGTTATTAATTTGCACTCCTCGTTGGCCAGATAGAAATTTAATTTTTAACCTAGATACTCAAACAAACGTGCTGTTTGATTAAAATAATAACGCGCGTACGCAGGACAGCGGACGTATATTTTTTGTTAGCGGATCATATAACTTCCAACTGGTAATAAAGTAGATATGTAGCAAGAAAATTCAAACATTTTTGTGATAATAGTATGTACCTAAGAAAATAAAGAGCATTGTTTTATGAACACTCAAAAGTCCCTGAAAGCCTCCTGAAGATAGGAGCCCATAGATGAAACGTGTGTGATTTCTCTAAAATGATCTTTTAATGTAACCCGCCAAAACATCCCCTTAAACAAAATTTTATTTATTAAAAGAACGAGAAAACTGATAGAATAAACGTGTAGACGCTTCAATCCGTCTCGACTTGACTATCCTAGTAGGAGATCGTCTCGGGCGGGGGATTGGCAATTTGACAAAAATGCAACGTGACCGGCCGAGCCGCGCTGCACGCTTACAGAGGCGGACAAAACTTATTTCTTCCCCACGATCGAATGCGCGGGCTAGTTCAATGGACTTGTTTCATTCCCAAAAACTGCAAAAATACGCGTCACGTCCTAAATTTTTCCGCCATTACGCTTTGCGCGTGTGAGGGATGCGGCGGACACAATGGTTCGTTGCGATCGTGACGCAATACGATGGAAAATAATGAGACGAAGTATTTCGTCTTTGCCAACGGCCTTTCGCGCGATGCTAGTCGCATTAATTATGGAAACACTTGTACAATCTTAATATTGAACCTTGCGAACCGACTCGCACTACCTACGTACACAGTTGTCCTCAACTTTGTTATTGACTTTTACCTGAACCTGTACTCTATTTCTTTTTGTGCGTGCTAGTTGATAAAATGACAATTTTGTTGTATTAAACGAGCAATTTGGATTTTAAGCATCCCATATTGTAATATATAACGTTCACTTTCTAAATAACGTTTACTTAATACAACATTTTTGCTAGAGTTGTATATGACGATGATAATAGGAAATACGTAACAGCAAACATAATTAGGCACATGACGTTGGATAATTAAGTCGTACTTAATAAAGCGAAACAAATACAAACTAAAAAGGCAGAAATACATTTTATATAATATCGGTAGATATTTTATATATTTTAAATTTTTTTTATAAATTAGACTATAGAGATCGTCCCTATGTTGCAGGGGATTTCACCAACATGAAATCACGAGCAAAAATAAACGTTTTCATACCATTACCATATTGTGTGTTTATAGGTCGTAAATACGGGTGTGCGGTTCGAGCCCACAGTTCGGCAGTAACCGCATGAACCATTGTTGTATCAATGCATTCAAAAACTGCTAAAACATAAACTATGCTGAAACTGTGCTGGAATACGCATCACAGCCAATGGACGGTCTTCAGGGCCTCCTACCTGTGCTCTGTTGATGACGTCATGGGGTCCCCGCCACGTGGTCGCGGCCGGGGACTTCCTCTTGGCCAGCTCGAGCGTCGCCTCGCTGGGGCAGCGCTCGAACATGAGCACCCGCTCGGCGACGGAGCCGCGCGTGAGGAAGGGCCGCACGGGCGCGGCGCCCGGCGCGGCCGCCGCTTCGCCCGCCCCGGCGCTCGACGCGCGCCTCGCTCGCGCCTCGAACTTGGACCTGGCCTCGGTCACGTGCGAGCCGAGGGACGCCCGCCTCTCGCTGCTTGCGCCCGCCGCGGGCTTCCGTCCGCCCGTCTCCAGCCGATCCTGGTAGCGGCTCTTCGCGTAGTCGACAAGCGATATCGGCGGCACCACGTCGGGCCGCTCCGCCGTGCGCTCCGCTACCACGCCACCCGTGCGCAGCGCCCGCAGCAGCCTCTCCTCCTCGCGGGCCACCTCCAGCCGCATCGCGGCCGAGTCGGCGCGCCGGGCGCTCCCGCCGCCACCCGCGGGATTGCGCTCCGGCACCAGGTCCGGCGGCAGCGTCAGCTCCACGCCGTCCCCCTCGGGAGCCGGACGCTGTTCGCGGCGCACGTCGGGCCTCTGCTTCATTTCGGGCTTCGGCTCGGGCCGCGGCTTCGCGCGCAGGCTCTCGGCCAGCTTGAGCCCCGGGGCGGGCCGGCAGGACAGTATCTCCGTAGGCGCTAGGCCGCGCGCCTTCCACGTCTGGTAGATCGCCTCCGCGTGGTCAGAGATCTGTTTCGCTATGGCGGCGATGTCCTCCTCGCCGGTGTCGATCTCGCGGCGTGCCGTGGCCGCCATGGCGGTGGCGCGGGGAGGCGGTCCGGGAGCACCACGCACCGCTACGGCCGCTTCAGGCGCGCGGCCCCATCGGCGCACACTGAGGGCAACACTGGCAGGGATATGGGTACACTAGGAACGGACGGCACTGCGTTACGCGGATGCTTCCGAACAGCTGCCTAAGTGAGCGCGCGAAACGATAAACAAAGGCCACGGCGATCGCGTGTCACGGCGCGGCGAACGGGCGACAGATACAACGGGCCGGCGGCGGCACTGAGCGCGGACTGCGGCGCGCCGCACGGAGCGCTCGCCCCGCCGCCCCACGCTCCCGGCCCACATGTCTTCCGCGCTCATTCACTTAGAGTTAGCACCTGACAGTGTATATTCGGCTGTACAAATGCCCCGTTGGTAACAATATTTCCCATAGCCCCGATTCCCATTTAGCTAGGATCCGCGATACCATAGAATCTAATGTTTATATTGACCAAAAATAGCGATGGCGACTTACTCACGCACGCCGTATTAATAGCACTCTAATAACACATGTTATACAGGCAAACTTTTGTTTGATAAGCATGTGTGCTCTGCGCTTCGATAAGCGCTCAAACATGCAACCCGTTACGTTTTTCTTCTGGGGTTTATTTTCAAATTGCATATTTAGAGACGGTAACATCAGCGTACGACAATCCATTAATTTCACCACTAATGAAATTAATTTGAAAATAAAAATAAAAATTGAATAAGTTGGAGTAAAAAGTGTTATAGTAGTTCTTTTCCAAAAACTCTATGACGTTATCATGAGAAGTTCACGTGGACTTAATTATTGGTTTGTAAGTAAAGAATTATAACACGAAACGTTCATAAAACATAAGGAAATCTTAAACATTATTTTACAATTCATATATAAGGATTTCCTTGTGTAATTAACATCGTAATGGGTCGCATATGTGGACGCAGTCTATGGCAGGGACATAGAGCGTGTCGGGAGACGTACCGCGCACGCGCGCCATTGCGACGCCACGAATAGCGCGTGCCGCTGTGTTTATTTACGTTCCCCCATTTTTTTTAATCTGTGAAATGGTGCGCGCGGAGCGACATGTGCGCCCACAAAAAAGAATTCGTAAAAAGGAGACGAGTGCACGAACGATGTCTGCTTTTCGAATTATTCACGGATTCGGTCGCGAAGTTTAGCCTCCAATACGTAGAGTCGGCTTTCTGATGGTCAAAAACTTCCTCTTAATGGTAATTGCAGTTTTCACATAAAGTGAGGGAAAGTTGAGCGTATGAACAAGTAAACGAGCGCTTTTACGTGTAGCTTTTTACGAATCTCAAAACTCTACCCTCACTAAAGAGTAAATTATAACTGAATGATAGAGGTACTCTACACGTGGTGTATTTAGGTGTAACTATTGTTTTTATCTGAAAAGTTGCCAAGCGAGCAAGCGGTTCACCTGATGTTAAGTGAATACTGCCACCCATGGACATCTGCTACACCAGAGGGTTGCAGATGCGCTGTCACCTTTTGAAAATTGGGCTCCTGCTACTTCACTCACCAGACGAAACGCGAAAGTATTATACTTCCAATTAACGCCGGTCTTCTGAGAGGTCGTGGTACTTATCCGGACGAGCCTGGCCATTCGTGCAACAGCCGAGGCTGCTGCGTGGCCCTACCACGGTTAAACTAGATCGGGGATCATAGTTTGCAATTCTCGCAGAAACTTTTGTCGACCGGTAATCCAGCCACATCCCTTAGTATTTTATTTATTTATTTATTTTTAAACTTCATGCACGAAACAGTACATAGGCGGACTTAATGCTGACAGCATTTTCTACCAGTAGTATCACTTAACTAGTTCGCCAGACATGTCATGAAATTTAAAATAATACTCTTATTATTCATTACGCGTTTGAATAACATGTACCTGATAAATAAAAGTGCTTTTGCAGAATTTTCCACGAATTCGAGTGACAACACACGTAAATATTTATGAATATTACTCATTCAGTAGACCCTTCATTTATCTATTACCTTAAAGGTCCAGTTACAAGACCTGTGCATAATTGATAATATGGACTTTGTTAAAATAGTGAATAGTACTATATATATAGATATATATATATATATATATATATATATATATATATATATATTAAATATAATACATATCTTCTCTTATATCACGTTTGCTTGAAGTTAATTTAGTTATTGCTTTATACTTAAATTCTATGAGCCTATAGTTGCAATCTTACGTGCGATTTTCCACGTTAAAAAAATCTTTGCGAGAAAACATTCATATGTTTGAAAGAATAGAAAATAAAAACTGTCAGTTTTAGTACTGCACGTAAGAAATGAACACTTTTTAGCTTCATAATTTATAAACAATAGTTGGGCTTCAAATATTTTTAAGAAGTATTCTTTTAGAAATGAGTTAGTCTTATTTTTGGCTGGTTTGCATTAAAAAATAATGATTATTTTTATCCATATTATACAAAGAACTTTATTAATACAAATCCATTTCGTAAAATTTAAACAACTGGATTTTCAACACTAATATGTCAAATACAGCGTAAAGTAAAGCCACCTCCGTTGAACTTTTTTAACATTTCTCGACACCAATCCATGCAAAAGCGTTTCTGGTCTTCGGTCAAAATATGGAGAATCCATCTAGTACAAAGCTTCTTGGTGCCTTGAACTTGACTCCAATACCTAGCTCGCCCGAATCTGCTGGTAGGTCAATCTTTCTTTTCAGATGTCGCTGTTAAAGGGCGTCACTCACGCAGATCATCAGTGAGATTGCTACGCCCACGCTTAAACCCATTAAACAGATTGTAAACAGAGGCACAGGATGGGGCTTCGTTATGAAATCAATCGAAACCTATAATAGCTTTGCTTTTGAGTAAGATCACAATAAAAGTCGTAGTAAATCGTGGATGGAAAATTTTCTCGCGTTAAATTCAATTTGCGGTTTAACAAGACTTTTGGAATTGGCGCTAATTAACAAAAATAAATGCAATAAATCACATTTGGTTACTAATTCCATGTTCAAAACATTTCGTACTTGGTCATGAAGTGGCCCAACCAATTCTTACTGACGCCTAACTTTACCTTCCATATCCCTTAACTATATATTTTATAACTATATTTATTTAACTTTTTCTGTACCGAAAGACGGTTCTTTTGCAAGACGTACTTCGTACAGTCCTTCCGTATCTCACTGACCACTTCGGACGTGAGGTTGTACAGTTGACAAATATCGAGCACGGAGAGGCCATTCCGCATTTTGGACGTTTGCGCACACACATATCCCTCGAAGTTGTTACCGTTGTCCAGTTCAGCCACAATCTCGACAGTGCCGTGAATGATGGCTGATGTGTGGCTCACCGGAGGTGGTTTGATGCTCGTAACGGTCCTGTCATCCGATCAGATGCTACCTCCACTACATTGTTACCAAGACCTCATTGAGATTCTTCATGCCCCCTTGCTGGCTCATGGAATTATTTAAAATAGTCATTGTTAGTTTACAACTCGAGTGAGAGTGAGAGACAACAGTTCTGTTGCACGTGACATTTACCTCTACCACCGATTACCCGATACTCAACAAGTCTTTTAAAAAATACTATGTTATTTAGTCCGCCATAAAACTCCCCAGCTGTCAGACAATTTTTTGTAACTATCCTCTAGATGTCTTAATTTCCCATTAAGTTTTCACACCCTGTACGTCGTATATCAGTAATTACATTCACCACTGCAGTTCTATAATTTTAAACTATTACAATAAAAGTAAATGATATTTCGAAGATATGTGACGTCCGCCAATCCGCAGTGGGGCCGCGTGGTGGACTATGCCCTGGGACATGTATAAGCTGATACTTTACTTTTTTTTAAATGATTTTACTTCTACTTTCTTTGGCCAGTTTGGAAATACTAGAACAATTGGATGAGGTAGTTGGCGTTGCAATCGGGATCTAAAACCGCATAAAATCTTTGAAAGAAAAGTTGGAAATACAATAGAAACAAGTAATAATAGATTTGGCTCAGACGAAGTTGCGCGGACCAACAAGCCAACAATATTATTTATGTAAGAATTTTCATCGATTTAAGCGGAGTACTTTTTTGATTTTTTGAGATTTTACTTACATCAGATTTGTTCCTATTACAATATAGCGTCTTATATAAAAGTTAATTAATACGTTGGGACAAAATGATTTAAATGTTTTATTGTGCTAGTGTCAAAATGCAGCTTTGGCTACTGAAAAAACTTGATAAGTTAAGCGCTAGGAACATAGAACATGAATTTAGTGTTTATAATTTTGAGATTGGACCAGGAGTGAAGAAACTGAGGGCCTACAAAATTTTAAAAATAATTTAATTTATTTTTCCACTGTTTTTCAGGGGCCAGTGATCTCTTAAGACCGGGTGAACTTGTAACAAAAAAAAGAACAATGGAAATGCGAATAATGCAAGTACAACATTGTCAAACAATTGTACAGAACAAAGTATCATTCAATAAACACAAATTAACCCAAACCGAAAATACATTTATCATTATTATTCTTCGGCGAAATCTGTTTAATTTTATCTCTAGTAAAACATAAGTTAGATATAGGTAAAAAAACTCTTGACCTCCCAAGTTGCAATTCATGTCTTCCAGGAAATGAGTTATAATAGTGCTCGTTATCGAATGTGGGGTTGGAACCACACCCAGGCTTTGGTTTATTGCCACCCATCACCACGGGGTCAATGGCCGCCGCACCTCCGAGGGGTGGCCTCTGGATTTTATATAGAGCTCCGTAATATTTCACAATTATTGAAATCAATAATTTTTTCAAAAGTTTCACAAAACGCGTACGAAATAATATATTTATATTATTTGTGATAGTAAGGTAGTAGATATGTACTACATATCTAATGTCATGTTAGAAATTTTATTTCTTTTTTACTCAATTAGTTTGTTTGAAAAATATTTTTTTTATTATAAATTTTTTTAACGTTAATATTTTTAATGATTATTGGCCATTAGCGTTAGACGTGTGTATTGTCACGATTGTAACGACACGCTGTATATAATCGGAATCTCGGAAACGGCTCCAGCAATTTTCATGAAATTTAGTATGTGCGTAGATTCGGGGGCGAAAAATCGATCTAGCTAGGTTTGATTTTTAGAAAATGTCCTTTTATGCCTGTTTTCGGGGAATGAAAAATATCATTCGAATATGATGGTAAATTTCGCCGAAAAAAAAATGTTATAATAGCTCGATCGGTAATCGAGCGGCCCCAAAACAGAAGGCCGCGGTTCGTGTCACGATCATTTACACACTTTTTTCTTTCTTTTTTTGCTTTATTTATTTTTTAT